GCTTCCTGCTATGAGTGACACCAGAAAAAAGTGAAATTAGATAGTCTAAGATTTCTGATACCAACTATACAAAAGGTGCTGGCGTAGAACCTGTTGTGGCTTACAAAAGCCTAGAAGCAAGAAAGCCCATTTTAGAACTACGCTTTAAGTTCACAATTTCCATTTTTTTGTCAAAATCCTTATGATATTGTCCACCTGAAAACTCTTCGCATGTACAACGAGAAGCTCACAAACAATTTAAATATTGGGTGAAAAAAACACTGTTCTATTTATTTTTCTTTATTATTAAATCGTTATCAATTATTTGATTAGTAATTGATTTAATTATTATTGTGTGTCAGAACATTTGCATTGCTATTGTAGACGTTCGATTCAAAAATTGAATGAGTTTTTTGCAATTGGATGAAATTACATCTTCAAATGTCGTTTTTAGTTCTAATCAATTTCTTTTAATAAGAATTTTAGATATTGCCAAAATTAAACTTACTTTACTCTGGGGTAAACTTCTTTGTTTTTGACAAACCTCGTAAACGACTGGAAAAATTAAAACTGGATGGTTTCATTGTAGGTAGACCATGCAGAACTTGTCATGAAAAATGCTATTTATCCAAAATAATGACATAAATATTTTTTACATCTAGGTCCAACCTACGGAGACATTTCTTAATTTCTTTGCTACAGGTGAGGTTTAGAGAATACTCGTTTAAAATCAACTGTGCTATTTTCAGTTAGTGATATACAGAGCAGTGTTTTCGTGCGTTTTACCTCAGTTTCTTGATTTACCGCTCTTGTACTCTACAATTATCTTGCCACTATGTCCGATCTTCAATAATGCGACTTTCGCCAGATTAACACCCACTTACTCATTAGCCATCGCACTTAAAATTTACTGTTTGATTTATTTGCACGTGTATTAAGCTCAATATGCAGCACGCGGTTGGGATTCGGGCTGTGCTCACTAGAGATACTCAAACCGCTGGAAAATATATGTCATCAACAAATGTTTTTAAATAAGGAATTGTTTTCCTACTTAATTCATCGTTCCGTTTTGAATTGTGTTGACAGTAACATAAAGATGTATATTCTAGGAAAATGGTGGAAATAAGGTTACCTACTTTAATCATTACATGTTTTTCCGATTGTTTATTTGGCTCAGCTAGATTTTCACGTTCGGAAGAAGCTGCGTGCTTTGGGTTTAAAAATGTACAGGCTTGAGGACCTTTTCTGTTTTTAAATGTAAATTTTCAGTCAAAGCGCCAGATGTGTTTCGCATATTTCTCGATTCTACTAGGCTGTTTGCAAACGAATGTTTTCCATGGGATTGTGTTTAAACCGTACCTGTAGCGATGACGCAAAACACACTTCAGGGTTTCTTACCTGCCCGAACCAACTAGATATAAAGACCTTTATCTCTGTCAAGCTGGCTTGGAATTCCACAGCGGGAAGTCGAACCTGAACACCAATCATGTTGCTTCCCTCAGCTTTGAATAGGATGCCTGTCCAACGGCCATTTCTAAGATGTTTGCGTCAGTCTCGGTTTGAGTGCCGTTTGTGACACATTTTTTTTCAAGCTGCCAAAACATTTGATAATGTTATTGTGGTAAGAGTCTTCAATTGTTCCTCATTTAACCAATTTTGTTGCTGATTAGTTGCTAGACTGTGTTCCCGTCGGAATCAATCAAAACTTTTCGTCATTCGACGCTTGGTTCTGTTTTAACAGCTAGTTTCTCAAATTAATTAAAAAGAAACACTTTCTTAACTAGTTCAAGAAGATATCGGACAAGTAAATTATTATTAATCACTTTTAGCTCTGGTTTTGCTCACTTTCTCCCTATGCGATTAAATCCCAATTCGGGCTTCTCACCAATATAAAAAAAACAAGAACACGTTTCGGTCGTTGTACCTATTTTACTCCTTCTCTTTTTTATTATCAGGTCCGCGTTCTCTTTGTACTTGAAGTTTTAAATTATACCTCTATAACTATAGACGTGTCAGGGATTAAGTGGGTGTTTCGTAACACGTATGAAAATAATAATTAGGTAGATTAAATCGCTTTTAAATAGTTTGGCCAAAGCTGCGTTCTCAAATTTGCTGTTTTAATGCAGATGAATCCGGCTGAAGCTGCAGGGTTTCGTTTAACTTTTTAATAGAAAATTTAATGGTTTTATTACTTTTCATATCCAGCTGTATTTAGATTTCTTTGGCACTATGATCATGAAGAAGAATCGTAATTATTTTGTCAATTTTACCTCCTTCAAGGAGGTTTGCCTTTGAGTAAGTTCAGTAATTGAGTCACTGTTATCACTGAAAGATGAGATGGAAAGTTACTAGATTGTTGTTGAAATCATGATGCAATTATTCAAAATTTCGATATTTGGGACACCGAAATTGGGACACTATTTAGGTATGCCCAACCCTGAGGTTGCCTTAATGCAAACGCTATTAATTTGTAATGGTTGCAAATATTCCTTGGTGGTTTCGCCACGAACGCCATGATTTTTATATCACCCGGATCTACCAAGAGTAATGGATTAGACATCGATGCGCGTTTATAATTTCCAATCGATAAAAAATTACGGACAATATACGACGACTATAAACCAACCAAACGGTTTTAATATTAGCCTTCCTGAGCCTGATAAAGCGCGATATCAGATAAACTCCACCCGAAGCAAAAAAATCACCACGGAGGCTCCATAAACCATCTTTCGTTTCATTTCTTTGTTTTTTGCCAAGTCTTCTTCTTTTATTAACTGGCCGCAGCGTAAGTTCAATCGCGCCAAGCGAGAGACCACACATTGCGATAACAATTAACAGGAATTCCATATCGATTTGTTTCCGAACTGAAATTTTGGACTGCGTTCCTTAATTACCTATCCATGTCAACGGTTTGGAGTAGCACAATTTATTCAGTTTACTTCATCAACTCTTTTTTTCTTGTTGTGTTGTTGATTAGCTTGTGGAATCTTGAACTATTTGCTCTAAATTTTGACCTTTTCTTCAGTTCAATGCAATTGTATGTCATTTAAAGCAAGGAATTTTTCAAATATATGAGGTTTGGCTGGTCACAATGCGGAACCATTCCTTGGGAAGCCCCTGCCATCACCTCTCAAAGATGAAATAGAAGGTGATACCTGCCGAAACGGTTACTATTCAACGGATTGCCCTTTTGTGAACGGCGTCTGAATTTTAGCTTTCAATGGGGCTTTTTATGTAGTTTGAATAAAAACTCCCAATATAGTTCTATTATGTCACCTCAGCCATACCGTAAAACCAAACTTCACCCATTATCCATATTGGCAGGTATTCTGGTGATTCCGCTTCTGTCGGCTTTTTCAATTTTGTAACGCTTTGGTCTTAGAAAATAACCTTTGTGAGCTTTTCTTTCACAGTTTATCCCACTGGTCTATCAGAGGTTTCGATCTTGAAATCAGTATAAGTTGTCAGCTCGTTTCTTCGGTTATACCTTACCCTTGTGCGTAATCGTTTTATAAAAATTAAATTTTCAATAATTGAAACTGATGAAAAAGCATTCAAGTCAGGTGATATAATTTAATACATAATATAACATATGCAAACATAAATTTGCAATGTTTATTTATTGCAAGCTGATCGATATTCTACGATATTAACATATGATCCTACCAAATTTATTCTTTATCTTTGACAACACATCTTTGTTCCTTGTGGTATTTTAAATAATTCCTAACAGTAAACTAAAAAATAGGTACGCCTATAATATTCTAGGCCTAATGAGACGAACAATAAATAAACTGAAACTCTTCGAGAAAGAATCGAGCTGATTATAATATGGATATTGATCACGTTATATCATTAAAGGCCAATTGAATATCGCATAAAATAAACTTTATCGTTACTGGGACTGTCCATAAATTACGACTAATATTTATTTATGACTTTATTATTGCAAAAACAAAACAAATATTGGGGCAGTAACATTAATTGTGTACAATATAGCAGAGATAATGATAAAATATGGAAAATATTGTTTAGTGGCGGCACAATTTTACATTTTATTTGATTTTCTGTTCTGTATCTAAAATTACGGCCGATCCTCGAAGCCGAATATTTTATGAATGGGCGAGAATGGAATTCTGGCTTATGAAGATCTAAATCGGTTTGAATTTGATAAAAATTATTTTTTCTGTTTTATAGTTTGATACTCAATTTTCAATTTAATCGGATGGATAATTGGAAGACAAACAAATGTTTTTGACATTAAAGAACACAATCTATGTATGACTATCGCCTTATCTATGCTAGTTCTGACAAAACAGAGCTTGGAGCTTTAGTTAAACTTTAATTTGCATTGAGGTTGAAATCAAAGATTTTTAGTTTTCATTTAATCACAGATGCTATCGCAGCAGATACTGCAATTGCTATAAATATCGAACGATTTATTCAAAATAGTTTTTGAACGGATACGAAGCAGTAATGTCCCCGTATGATTGCTTTTTTCCTATAACAAATTTCAAATGAAATTGAATGATGTTTTAACCGAAGACTTATTTAATTGCAGCTTTGCTGGATGAAGAGAATCTTTGATGCCATGATTTTGAATTAAGTTACTTAGTGCCCTCTTTACATTATGACACTACAATTGTTCATTATGATACTAAATTAAGTGCAAAAGTACTTACGGACATTAAAAACAACTTAAGAATTATCTTGCTCCGTCTTCACTGGAAGTTTTAGTCGAATTTTGAAATTACAATTTCTAAACACGCTACTTATTCGTTGCAAACTCGACTTAAAATAAGTAACCCAAATTTAACCGAAAAATATTTCAAAATTATCGTAAGTGTAGTAAGGAGGTTTTGTTATTCTTGATACAACTGTTCATAAGACAAATTTTATATTAAATGTGAAACAGAGGAGAGGCATCTAACAATGCATTCGTTTTCAATTGAAGAAATGGCTTCGACAACGTTAATTCCAAAAATGTTTTCTGGATTTTTAATTTTTGAATTTTTTTCTAGGTGCAAACGGTTTGAGAAGGCGTGGCCGTCAAACGTACACCCGGTACCAGACGCTCGAGCTAGAGAAAGAATTTCACACGAACCATTATCTGACCAGGCGGCGGAGGATAGAAATGGCGCACGCGCTTTGCCTAACAGAACGACAAATCAAAATATGGTTCCAAAATAGGCGGATGAAACTTAAAAAGGAAATACAGGTAAACATACGATTCTCATTACTTTTCTTAAAGGACGAAATGGCTTGCGGGCAAAGGTTTGGCGTCTTTCATGAATGCAGTAAAACCTAAAGAGCTTTTTGATCACAGTATCATACTTTAACATATCAAGGGAATTTTGTTAGCCACATATTTCTTCTCGTTCCATCGTTTGCTTCTAGATCACATTAACAGTGGTACTCGCTTTCCATTCGAGTTCATTTCAAAAAAAAGTTTTCTATTGGAGTTAAAAATTTTCTAATCGCACTCGGGTTGTCTGTAAGATGCATAATTTGCTGTCGATGCATTGTTTACGTCTAGTTTTCGATGAATGGTTTTCTGGTCCAATAAAACTGAATATATGGTTAATTTTTAGTAATTGCAATTTCGTTTTTGTATTTCCGTATGGTCTGCATGTACTTCTTTTGTTGCTTTATTTACTTTAGGTTTTAAGGATATTTGTAGTTGTTCCTATCTAGACGGATGCTCAACTCAAATTCCGTAGGCATTTGACCTCTTTTAGAGTTTTTCTGATTCAAACAATCGATCCCCCTGTATTTATCATTGAAAATCAGATTGCCCATTGCCGTGTACTGTTAAATCTTGTTTTAAGAAGTAACAATCCATAATTCGACACACAAAATTGTGCCAAAGATCCATTACAACGAAGTTTTTGCAAAATTTTGAGACTTATTTTAAAGCTGATTGATTGCGGTTTGTTCCACATGTCTTTTTCTTGTTTTGAGGGCCCTTGCATGGAATGTTGCACGTCAATAGTCAAAAGTTATGATTAAATTTCTCTTCTACAATACTTTATAGAGTTGTCGGTGAAAAATAAAAAATATGAACAATGAAGCTATCGCGACCCAAATTCAACGCATCTTAAAATTTAAGCTTACAATACCTACACTAAAGTATACTATTTAATTTCCATAGAACTTTCCGTGTAATCTGGCAACGCTGCGTAAAGTTTAGCGTAAATATGTCTAATCTATTGAAGTTGTAAATGTTTTGTAACATGATTTTATAAGCATTTTTCCCTAACACTGCTTTATTTTCACTGCATTTTAAGGAAAAATTAAAATGAAAGCGAAACTCTGACAGACATAAAATACATACAAATTCCATGTTTCTCGCAACACCAAAACTTCGATTATCCACTCGCAATTAAATGTTTAATTTTCAATGTTTATTCGTTTAATATATTAGTTACCATCAGCTATCGAAATGTTTGCAAATAATTTCACATACTCTTTTAGGTTTGTAATCACAGAATTTAATGAAGGAAAATGAAGATTGGACAAACACAAATTTTGTATATTTTTTGTTGGAAAACTAATTCTTCTCTATCTTGCAATTTGAAGCTTGCTCTCGTTTAAGCCTTTGCGATCCGCAGAGCTTTCAATAATGCATGTCATTCGTTAGCAGCATGTTCGATCAATAAAGCATGATCATCAGCATGACTAGGTTGAATCAATGTTTGAGAATGAATTTAGAGGTTTAACTCATTTTTGTCAATTAAATGGCCTTCAAAACGCCGAATCAGCACTTTAACTCATTCTGAATCGACTAAACTGAACTTTTAACTAACAGTTTTTAATTCCGAATGAATGATTTAGACGGTTAATTGAACTTCGAACCAGGTGGAAATGTTCTAGTTCCATAGCTTTATTGCCGCTTTTTCATTGGTCCACGGATTAAATTGTTTTTAGTTGTTTTTTTTTCTGCAGCCTGCAAGTTGCCAACCCCTCATGATCATTTACAAGTTCCGATTTCCTTCCATTATGTCCATGTTTCCTCTCCGTTCTCAAACCCCCCCCTGCCACGTAGCTCTGCTTTGTGCGGGTGGTTATAAAACCAAATGGTCCACAAGATCAAAATGTGCATTGTTTTTCTCAACTATTACGACCGGTAAAGTTCCGCTTTTTCTTGAAAGATGTGATTCTTCCTCACATGCAGCTCTAGTAGTTCTATTTGAACTAATATCCTAACTGCTAACTTTTGCAATGCGAAAGCATTGGCTACAAAACTGTCAACGTTCTCATTACAATCCGCTTTTCCCAAATACTAATACATAATTTTTGTTGCAGGCCATAAAAGAATTAAACGAACAAGAAAAACAGGCGCAAGCACAGAAAGCAGCAGCGGCGGCGGCAGCGGCAGCAGCACAACCAATGGATCAAAATTAGTTAGTTCCCCCCATTTTCCCCACCGGTGATAATGAAAGGATGTGGCTGAGTTCATTTACTTAACAGGTGAGTGATCTTCAGCCCTCAAAGTAGCTTTTCCGAGTTTAGCGACAATTTAAAGCGTTTATAAGGTGGAAGCAACGATAGGATGCGTTGGTCGCTAAAATAGCTGGAATTCCTTTTTTCATTGTACTTAAAACCGAATTCATTGCAATCAAATTGAAACTCGAATAAGAAAAAGCATGAATCCAACATGTTATTTATAGGGACATTCGTGTGCTTCGTAAATATGAACTGTACTTAAAATTTTCCATAATTCGTAGCAAATATTTTTAATCGGTGTTGTTTAGATTAATTTAAATACTAGATAATGATCTCCGATGTTATCCATGTATACGTAACTTATACCTTGTTTTGTTAATAGGTTTTCTTGCATGACGAATGCGTAGCCATTTTATATATTATTATTACTATTATGACAAATGTTTTGTTATTTTTTTGCCAAGTGAGTTAATAAATTCTTTTAATTTAACTTAATCAGTTTGTTTACTTTAACATACATTAGCAACATTCATTAAAAGTTTTCACAGAAAAATGAAAGTAATGCGTACATTTATGAAAATATTTAACTACGTAGTTGAAATAGCAAATGTTTAACTAGTCGCAAGGTGGATGGGTGCATGTATTTTAGTTTACTGATGAATGTGTCTACCGGCTTTCAAAATTCTATTCTTGAAAATATGAAAGGTACTTGCGACTTTTTACTGTCGTGGTTCTGCTCTTTTTCCTATCGACACTGATCTCAGGCGCATTGATTTTACCGGCTTTTAAAGTTTTAATCTTGAAAATATGAAAGGTATTTGCGACTTTTTACTGTCGTGGTTCTGCTCTTTTTTTCTATCGACACTGATCTCAGGCGCATTGATTTATCATTGTTAATTAATAAATGCCAAATGGAAATTATTATATCCCTAAAACTAAGAGTTAACGAAGTATTCTGCAAAAGTAGCTTATCGAAAAGTTCCACTACGTATCGTTTAACAAAAATTCTTCAGTTTTTTTCTCAAGTTTTATTTCCTACACGTGCCTTGATCCGATTCTTCTGAAGAATAATCATCGTTTTGAACTGTCCTTAATTTACCAGCGAAAATGCTGGGAATAATTGCACAAAACCACATTTTTTGTAGGTATTGCATGAAAGTGTTAAATTGAATTGAAAAAGAAAAACCGAAAAGTGTGTTAGGTAAAGTCAATTAGGAAAACCATAAAAATTATGTTAATTGCACGTCATTGAAGACTCGAATCATGGCACGAAGTAGTCAAAAATGGAACACTCCTCATCACACAGGATCAACTAAAATATTTAAACTGAAAAACTAATTAATTAGTATAAACGTTCATTTTGGTCCCATTTACAGTTTATCGATATAATTTTTCTAATGGACAATTGAATGATTTTCTTTAGCTATACCTACATTTTGAAAAAATATAAACTTCGAATTAAATCAGGCATCTTTACACACAAATTACATCAAAACATGGCACCAACCATCAAAGGTCTTAAAACCGAATAGAACATATGCCCACAGGAAAAACTAGATACGCTACAATGAATATTTGCTAAACAAAACTGTCCTTTCACACCCACACGCAAATGGTGATGCATCTGTACTCAATTAGTATGTTTTCAAAACAAACAATTAGATACACATATTGTAAATTTCTTTTATGTTGCCATTCCAAACATCAATAAATCGGCAAGCGACGGGAGGCAAACGATACTTTTTTGCCCGGAAATTTACCCGTCAGCATCCGATCATGAGATTTTATCCTTTCTCAAGCAAAAGGATTTACCTGCTTTGTGCGAATTGGTCATTGATGGCTGAAAAGGGTTTTTTAAAGGATTTTAGTTAAGGTTATTGTTGAGAAGCCAGATGAAGCGTTTTAGGTCACTTTCAAGGGTGCATCCTTGCTGTTCCCACTATTATTTGAAGCCACTTAGCAACTGATTGTTTTCGGGAACCTTTTGGCCTTTGGAGGTCATGTTCCAGACTCCTATCGTTTAGGTTCTTATCAGCGGATGCAACAGCGCTGCTTATTTCTCATGATGACTGGGAATCTACAATGTAAAATTTGTGCGAAATCTGCAGATATTTTCTTTCTCAAATTTCAATGGAGCCGTGTGTTGTGGTCGCTTCTTATCTAACGTGAATAAATCAAGCTAAACTAGCGTGTCAGTATCTACTTAGGCGAGGCCAAACTATTTCCCGCCTTTTTCCGTCTAGCCGATAAGATTTCGTTTCTCCAGTGAATCGTTAGGTTTCTAATGTGATATTATGGGTTGCGTTCATGATTATTCATCAAAACAATGTGAAATATTAAAAGAACTAATTACTAATTTTTAAAGCTTTGTGCGCTAAGGGGGGGTATTGAGTTCGAATCAATTGTCCCACAGATCGACACTTTCAAGTAGAAAACAATGAATAACCTGTCTTAAACCATTCACTGGTAATTCTAAATGCCGCCTAACAAATCTTTGTAATTTCTTACCTTTCTCTGACTCGATTTGAACTGTCAGAACATCAATAAAGCTATAAACCTCAAGACGGTAAACGTGCGCCATTTTACGAGCAACTTTACGGTCGTAAACATCATTACGATTATCCCCATTCAAATGGAAAGAGGGTGTTACTTTTATAACATTGATCATTTCAGCCAGCTACTTGTTTACACCGATTTTAATGGCGCTTAAGGGTTGACAAGCTTTGTCCGGTTTAATGGTCGATTATTAGTATGTAAATTTGATGGCCATTGGGATCAATTCTTCGGAAAGAGCTTATTGATCAGTTATATCACAGGGTAATAAAAAGAACTGATGTCGGAGGTAGAGTTTGAATAACATTCAATAATACATTTGTATGTGGGCGGAAAGTAGTAGGTAATTAGGTACTTACCTACTAGCATGGATAATGGAATAAAAAGAGTATTAGCACAGTCTGAAACTTATAATATAATACGATATTTTTAGTCCTAGTAAATATTGTTTATTATGACGAGTTTACTATCAAGATTTGTAGTGCAATATGGAATGAAGTCCCAATCTGCTTATTTTATTAAAGTTGTAGGCTTCAAATTTTCAACTATATATGGGGCAGTTCGAAATTAGTCATTTTTAACCTGAAAGCGGATAATGTAATCTTGCAATCTGAACCACACTACATTAACGCACCAAATTCACTTGTATGTAAAAAGTTAAAAGTGTAAAAGAAAATATCTTCAAATATGAAAAATTGCTGGTACTGCTGGTACCGAAAGGCCTTAAAGGATCCTTCACCATTAAGTCAATTTCTCGAAGTGGTACCTCTTCCCAAACACAAACAGGCCCTGCTTTCGCTCATTCTAAATGGATGTAACAATTTTTGTATTATACTCTGGCGTCATTTTTTATTAATTCCCCACAATAATTTATGGGGGGCATATTATTCTTCGTACTGATTAATCGGGCACAATTATGCTATTATGATTAATAGGCATAATTAACTTATTATCCTTAATGCAATAAATACTGTAATCACGACAATAATATGCATAATGAGAAAACCACACTCCAGTAATTGTGTTTATTTAGCAAGTCAGACAGTGGCAATGCAAATGTGTGATTGATTGAATCATCACCCGATTTAATATTTCTTATAAAAACTGTTTTGGTCTTAAGTTTAAATATTAACAATTTACAAAAATCAAATTGTAGTTGCGTTCATAAGCTCATTAACTCCATGCCCCTTTACAAAAATCACTAAAAATGTATACTATCACCTTTAAGAAAATCAGGACAAAACTGTAATAATGGGCAACACCGCGCCAAGTAGCAACTGAACTCGTAACTCACTCTAGAGGCCAACGAACAGACGACTACGTTGTGAGGCTGAAATCAAGTGGAGGAGAATGCCTATAAGCTTTTTAGTGCCTATAGTTGTGCAACTAACTGCTAGAGGGCCGTCGTTGTGAAGTAACGGGCGAAATCCGAGTGTGTGTAATTCGCAGTTTATTGCCTAGGTGGCGCGGTGCGTGGTATGCATGGCTCCTTATTTATTTGTTTTTGCTTTTGCTCTTTGAAATTTGTCTGTGTTTGATCTTGCTTTATGCTACTTTTGCCCCATATTAGTTATTATAGGTGATTGAACTTTCACAGCAAAACAACGCCAAGAGCATTTAATTATCATTTATGTAATTATTATTAAAGCATTTATTTCTATTATCAATCAGTAGATATTAGTTAGGTAAATACCGAGGAGAAAATACTAAAGGGGATTGAAATCGTAAATAAAGGTGAAATCGTAAATAAAGAAGAAAATGCTTTATTGAAAGTTCTGGTTGCAAAGTGCAAGCGGAGTTTTTGTCAAATCTTGATTCTAGACAAACATGTTGAAACAAAGTTGGCAGAATTCGTGTCGCTAAAGAATCACTAAAGTGCAACGAAATATGCATGAAACAGTAAAAGATTCGTATAAAGAAAGGACTGTAAAAAACTATAATGATAATCAGTGTTTTGTCTTATTTTTACGGCATGCCATATTAGTCTAGTAAATAGTAAATATATTTCCCATTATGTATATAATTTTGCGCCACGCGATAGACGGAAGATAGTTATTTTTCAATTCCCTACTAATTTTTCCATTAGTTACTTATTAATTAATTTTCCATTTAAGAAAATGCTGAAACTGAAACTTCACGCGTTTTAGCTCAATACTCAATAGGTTGTGAAAATAGAGACTGAACATGAAGCTATCTCGGATGATAATTAAAATTGAAAATTTGTCATTGTCTTCATAATTATATACTATCATGGCAAGACGAAATTATTGATTTTAAAAATGTAACTATTAAATGAAAAGTAAAAACCGACAGTTGAAAGCGGCTTTTCACTTTTTTCTCACTCACAAGCTAGATTTAATTTATTAGGTTCAAATCTGGCACTCTATTGATCATTCAGTTTCCTCTGTTTGCTTTTTTCATTTAGTTTCATTTCATTATCTTCCCAATCTCTCTTTGTTGAAAAGTTCGTA